ATTTTTTGTGAACTTTTTTAGGCAGCGACAAACGCCAGGGAAGACAGATGTGCGACATTGCAATTTGTTACAGTTGCAGTCGCATTAATGGCAGCAGAATGGGGCGGGGCAGCGGGGAGGCTGCGTTTTAGCCAGGTTCTGGGTTTTCAGGCAGGGTCTGCAACAGAAAACTGGGACTGCGACTGCGACTTCGAATGAGTCTGAGTCTGAGTTTGAGTTAAAGGCTTGGGAAGAGTTGGGAGCAGCGGCAGCAATAGCAACCTAAATATTTTAATGCCCCGGCCACATTGATGGTTCACTTTTTGCTGATGATGGTGCTGCTGCTGCTTCTGTGGCAATTAACATTTTTTGCGTGCACAAATATTTTTCGACTTGGGAGAAAGAAGGCAGTTGCAGCGGCAGATGCACATGAAATTCACAACAGAAGCTGCTTCTGCTGCTGCTGCTGCTGCAGTTGCATGAAACACAAACAAATTAAACCTAAGGTGAGTACAACAAAAAGCAGGCATAGAAAAATGAAAAATACATGCCAGCCAACTGAAAAAACAGCAACAATTGACTTCGGCCTGGCTGAAAACGTAACGAAATATGTTAAAATGCAACCAAGTGAGTAAATTGTGCGCAACAACTGTTGGAAAAAGGGGGGGTGTTGGTGAAGGTTGTGGGTGGAAAAGGGGCTTGGGAGAACTGTTTATGTAGCCCACTCAGACACACACACTACCACACACACACTCTGTCGGGCACTTCATAAACTAAGCAAATTATTATTTAAAAGTCCACCAAGTGAGAGGGTCTGAGCCTTGGGTTCGGCTTTGGGCTGCACTTGTACAAAAATTATGCACAAATTGTTTTAATTACGCGCTGCCGCAATTTGCGGCCTCAGCGGAGAGGTGGGGGTGTAGTAGATGTTTGCGGCATGGAGCATCAACGGAATTTGCTGTGTGTTGTAGCAACAAACTTTGGGAAAATTGTTGCCAAATTGCATTCGGTTTGACGATATTTTGTTCGCCCCTTTTTTTTTCGTTGCCCAGATTAGCTTCTCTTGGAAAAAGTGGGCTAAATAGGGCTGCCAAAACATTTAACATAAGGGAGTTGAAAGATTTCGGGTTTCTAAGTTTATTGAATATTTTAAATTTCATTTTAAACGAAAGAGTGTTTTGAATGGTAAATTATAAATTGAAATGAAGTCAAGAGAGTTCTAATAAACATCTTAAAATTAATCCTAATTTCTCTTAAATAAACTACCCAAGCAAACTTTATTTATATTTGTTCTTCAAACTGCCTCAAGCTTTAAAAAAAAATTTATTATTATCCAAAAGCAGGCAATGCATTTGTCATTGTAACTTGCCATACTTACAACTATATTCTCATAATTATTTTAATAATTCGGAAACCTTATATTTCATTAATCAAATACACCAATTGTCTCAAAACATGTGTAGGCCCCACTTAACTTAAAATGAGTGCCCTTTAATTACTTTTATTTGTTCATTACTTTTATTTGTTTATTAATAACGTCGAATTTCGAGTACTTACAAATCTTAGTTATTTTGTTATCTTTGGATATCTGTGAATTATAACAAACTCATCCAAAAATGTACAAAAAACCCTAATTTAAACGCCCTTTATAGGGTACCCGGTAAAGCATCTGCAGCTTCAGTCAATCTTCCCTGAAGCCCTGGTTTTTGTGGCTGCTGCTGCTGCTGTTGTTGTTTTATTTTTTCTGTTCTATTCATATTATTTTTAATTATATGTAGCTACATAGAAAAAAGCTCAAGTTTGGCATAGAATATGGAGTGGGGTGGTGGCGGTAGCGGTGGAAGTGGCAGTGGCAGTGGAAGCCAACGGCAAAATTGGACCCACCCATTTGATGGTACCGCCTCGCTACAAGTGCCTTAAAAATATTTTCACTTTACATTTTTTGCGTGCGAATGTTGTGGATTGCGGGGGAGGGGGAGGGGTGATTGAGGGGGGTGGGGGGTGGCTAGCGAACGGTAGCGCCAAGTAACACAGACAATGTTGCTTGCCGCTAAGGCCTGATAATTACCAGGTTGTTGTTGCTGCAACGAACCCTTTCCCCCGCTTGCCACTAAATTTATGCTGCCTTCGCATGCACACTCAGGTGTAAGGGGTGTGTAGGTGTGTGTGTGTGTGTGCTGGTGGGTATAGAAGTCAAGTCAATCTTTAGACTGTTTTTACATAATTATAACAACGAGCGCGCTGCCTCCACTGATGCTTCTTCAGCTGGCATTTTATTGTTTTCGCTTCTCGTAACCGTCTTTTTTTTCACCGCCGCTACTGTTGTGGCAATTTAAATGCCTAAACAATAATTTGTGCATAATTCTGGCTGGGGTTATTGTTTTTGGTTAATGCACGCCCAACCCAGTCATGCCAAGTCGCGATCTCTGCCTGCCCCAGCCAGCTGGCAATTATGTTATGCAAATCTTTTCGGGGCCAATTAGAGTACTTCCTCCAGCTAGGATTTCCCCTTCAGGCAAAAATCCCCCAACAATATCCGTTTTCCATTAAGAAAGGGCCTGCCACCATACATTTTGTCCATATTTTACGCACTTTACGCACCGATTTGGGCCTTAAAAAGAAAGATGGATGGAATGGCAATGCTATTCGTACAAATGGGCACTGGTTTCCGGTTTCCGGTGGCGAAAATTTACGGCCTGCCTGGGAAAAAGGCCTCGAGAACTATTCGCGGAACCTTCAATTTCCTGGGCACGCACAAAAATCCAGCAAAGTACAGTTGTGCATTAAACGTTTTTCCACCTTTCCACCCAAAGAATTTTCCCCTACACTTACGCCACCCATCAATTGGGTGAGTGAAAAATATCGATAAACTGCACACTGCCCCCTGCCGCGCCCACAAATCCCAAACTGCGTGCATTTTATTTATTTATGTATATTATAAATTTTACATACACATCATTACGTGGGGGCAGGGCGGACTCCGTTTAACTCTTTTTATGCGGTGGGTGGCTTGTAGGGTGGTGGTGGTTTCTATTTGAGGGGCGCCAATTTACGCACAATGAAGAAAGTTTTGAGGGCGTTTCACCTGGGCTCCAAATGGGTGGCGGGGGCGGAGGCGGGTTGCAGAGGTGTATCTGGTAATTTTTAGCTTCCGTTTGCTCTTGCTTATTTGGGCATGACTGAACGAACGAACGAACGAACGAACGAACGGCCGCCCACTCCCGCCCACTCGAAATAAGTCAGTCTGCAGTCCGTTTGTCAGGTGGCCGCCTGCCCTCAGGTGTGCATGCGTGAAAATTCTTCCACCACATCGATTACTTTACGCAAATTAGTGCGTAGATATTTTACAAAAATGTTCTATAAATAATTCACGAACAGTTCAGTTTGATGTGCGGGTAATCGGCGTAATACGAGTACCGTTCTCTTAGCCCAGGTCAGTTGACTTGGCTCACACTCCGGCTGCCAGGACCTAAATGATGGCTTCGATTGGAAGGGATGGTGGTTGTTGTAGTGCTTGTAGATGGGCGAACACACACATTGTCGCTTCATTTAATCTAAACGCTTAATTTAGCAAATTTATGCATTTTTCATGTCACTATTGAAGGCGGAGAAGGTTTGAACTTAAAAGTTTTAAATTTAAAACACTTCCTTTTGAAATATCTTTAGACTTGAAGCCTCGGTATGTTAAAATAAATATGCCCAATCCAAAAGTCCAAAGGTTGATGATCTTTCATACTCTCATAAAAAAAACTTACAAAAATAAATTTCAAATAAAACTGAGCACATATTTAATTAAAATCATCCAAAAATTTATTAACAGCCTGGGCATATGTTCTTCCGTTGGCTCTTCTCGGATACAATCGCACGGCCTTATGCGAACGCGGTATAATGGCCAGTTTGTTCTCCTTCCGCAAGAACTTAAGACCAAAGTTCTCGAAGAAAGATGCGTTGTTTACAATGCGCACCAGTATGGATTGTCTATTGAGAAGGGCAAATACAGTGTCGCGACCCACTGTGGATCCCGGCTCAGATTGATCCACCAGAACAATGGAGTGTATGCAATTGCAAGCTGCCTGCTTGAAGAGCGACGCTACAGAATCCGTGGCCAGAATGGGATCGAAATTGGGAGAGCCGGGTTTCTTCAGTTTCACCGGCACCAGAGCATTCATAACCGAATTCCGCATTTCATAAGAAGATTCATTTGGAATTTCAAGACCATCGCGCTTGAACTCCGTGGGGAAGAACCGAAGTCCTGGCATTTTGAAGTTAAAGCTTGAGCAGTCGTTCCTGTTGATCGGCCTGTTGCAATTGATCAGGACAACGTCCAGGAGGCGGGGGAACTGGGTTAGGGGGCAGAGCACGTCGTATACCGATTCAAGACCATCCAATTTCTCCCCCATCTTGGCATCAGTGAAGTAGACAGCGGTGGAGACGGAATTGTTGCTCACAAGCTCGTCCAAGGTCACGTTGAACCAAGAAAACCTTCCTTTGGCCTTGACTCTAACCATTCGAGCACCCTCCGTCGGGGAAATTCCGTGTTCTGGAAGAAAACTCAGGAGTGCAAAGCATACCACCAACAGCATTTTATCCAGACCACAAATCTATTGAACTAACTTCGGCAGCTTAGCAATCTCAATCCCTCGTAAATATTTGAGTCCATGACAATATAATTAGCCATAACAAAATTACATTTTTTTAGTGTTTTTAGTGAAACTGATCAATTTTATTTTATTTTCATTTATTTTGTTAGCCATCCAAAACTAACTGCGGCCTTGGCATTAGCTTTATTTGGATAAAGTTGAACGAGCCTCCGCGTCATTTCTTTTTGATTAAAAGAAACTATCATAATAAAATATAGATACTTTTTTTTCGCTTTGATAAGATAACCGAATCCAGTGACATCTTAAATTAATTTTATTTAAAATGACTTGTAATTGTATTCCTGGAATTTGGATTAAAAGGTGGTGAATGCTGAAATGTTGGTCCTGTCTAGCAGGACTTTTGTAGGCATAGATTACCAGTTAGGAAAAAAAATGCCAATTTATTATCAAAGATAAACCTAGTTCCGCTGATGTTAAGATACTAAAGGTCAAATACATTATTATTTTAAAAGTCTGTTAACAAACCAAAAAAAAAGTGGGTTTTCCAATGATCCCATGGTAGTTTAAACTTCATGTCTTACAAAGACTTAATGTCGTATCCCTTGGAAGTGGACAGGCCATCGAAACTGAAATTAGCCTCAGCGTAGAGGTTTTTCAGGTATTTCAGCACTTCGTCAGTCCTCCAGCTTTGGTCTTTGTTCCTGCAGGTGGGACACATATTCGCGCTGGGAAACTGCGTGGCAGTTGGCTTGTTGAATTCGTTGTGCGTTTCCCAGAGCCAAAGTATCTCCGCGTCATGGGTTTTCACCAGTTCAATGGGTCGAAGTTTGACCATTTTCTCAAAGTTGCTCACGCAATCTGGACAATCATAGAAATACTTGAGGAAATTCCGAATAGTCTTAAGAACTGTGCCCGGAAAGAATGGGTAGTAGGGCAACGCGTTCTGCACGGTCCAATAGTGGAACAATGTCCACAGGGCGCAGGGGTAACCCCGCGATCTGGAGCTGTTGGGTGCGCAACCAACGTAGTTCTTGGCCGTGAAGACCTCCTGATATTTCAACTCTAGGGACTTCAGTTTTTCAGAGAACTGCTTCCCCGTCAACGGTTTAGGAGGTGATACTGGTGGCCAAGCGTATCTAACTAGCGAATCTCCATCATTATTCAGTGGGTTTAATTTCTTAAGGACACGAAAGAATTGGTCTAGCGCCATCAATTTATCTCCTTCCATAAGTGTGGCATTAGGAATCACGGTGTGCATAATCGTGTCAAGGCCCTTAATCAGATCGGCTCGATAGACTTGCTTCGTGACCTGCCTAAGTTTAAGATAGTTTACAAAATTTACTCATTTCGATGAGTGTTCAAATAGTAAGTAGTACAAACCCAAGTGCCACGTTGCAGAATAAAAGCGGGGCACAAAACAGGAGCATCCAAAGGCCCAATGACGTGACCTTATTTGGCGACTTGAGAAGCGGCTTCATTTTGGAACGATGGTTACAGATCGACTAATAATTTTACTAATATTGAGCCCTTTTAAAGAACCCAGGGTAATTGTTTTTGTGTCGGCTCGAATCAATAAAAGTCTTAATGTCATTACATATATTAACTTTTGCTTTAATGGATATGCATCCAGTAATTCGGTTACTTGATAGTAACAGGGTTATTTATAGATTGTTACGCCTTAACATTCCGTTTTGTTAAAGGTTGCCAATTACCTTTTTGGTGTTGCTTTGTATCATAATATATATCTAAGCTAAGAGTAAGGTAGTGTCCGTTCCAGATCAGTCTAATAAATACTATATGGGATACCTTGGAATATTTATCATAAAGAATTGAGTAGCGGACCTTAATTAAATAAAGGTCTTAGGCAATGCATCTAAGTTGTTAGCCAAAAAAAAGTCAAAGTCAATCTATTAATTCTCTGTTTAATTATATTTCAATTTTTTTCCTTCTATTAGTACTGCTTTGGGAATCACGGTGTGCAAAAACCTGTCGATGCCCTTGATCAAATCGATTCGATAGACCCGCAAAGGTCTCTTCACAGCTTGCCTAAGGATCGTCTTTTCTTGCATTTCCAAAAGTTTTTTGAGGGTTCGAGCTTTTGTGGTGGGTGGAATTTTCGCCCCTTTAATTCCGAAAAACCTGAGGTACTCTTTTATGGCAGCGCCATATGATTCACCTGTCTCAAATTTTTGTGCCAGCTGTAGCGGGTTTCCAGTCCTTAACTTAAACAAAAGAATTTGAAACTAATATTATTCACATTTACTTTATTACCTTTTGACCAAACAAATAAAGATTATATATAATATTTGACAAGCTTATGCATATATTTATAATGCAATTTATGTGAAGTAGTTTAAGTAATAGAAATGTATTTTCAATCGTATCCCTGCGAAGTGGGAAGCCCGTAAAAGCTCACGTTCTTGATGTCGTAAAGGTGTTTCAAATATTTTAAGACTTCATCCCTCCGCCACTCGGAGTTATTATTCCGACAGGTGGGACAGTTCTCCACGCTGGGGAACTGGATCTTTGGGAACTGGGGATCCTCAGTGATGGGATCGCCGGCAATGCGTTGATTGACTTCATTGTGGGCCTCCCAGAGCCAGAGTATCTCCTCGTCAGAGGTTTTCACTTGCGACATATTTCGCCGATTTGCCATCTCTTGAAAGTGTTTGGAACAATCCGAGCAGCCGAAGAAGTACCTGACAAATCCATGAATGGTATTAAGAATGTTGCCCGGCTGAAAATGGTGCGGTTTCTTCGCAGCCTCCACGGTCCAGTGGTGAAACAGTGTCCACAGGGAGCAGGTGAAGCTCCGTAGGAGGGGTCGAGTTCCAATGCAGCCAATGTAGCGCTTTGCCTTGAAAACCTTCAGGTGCTTTTCCTCTGATTCAATTAACTGCTTGAACTCAGATCCTTTGTCCAATCTCCGTTGTGTGGAGCGGTACACTCTGGTCACCAGTTCCCTACCATCCTTGTTCAGGGGATTCAAATACATCAAAGCCTTCATTACGTTATGCAGGGCGAGATCATTTCCACCCTGAAAGAAAAAGTATTTGTGAAGTTCGTTGTGCAGGATCTTGTCGATGGCCTGCTCCAGATCGGCACGATAGATCTTGAGTGGCGGTTTAAGGACCTCAGCAAGGACGGCTTGATTCCGCTGATCCAGAAACTCATTGTCGTTCGTGGCCACAGCGATGGGCAGTGGCGGATCTGGCTTAAAGTTGAGCTTTTTCAGGAATTCCCCAACCGTGTTCGCATAATCTTGGCTTGTATTGGAAGCAGGTTCCAAATACTGGGCATTGCCACTTCGATCGATTATTGCTAGTGATTCTTTGGTGGGTACCAAACCAAAGTTGGCAAAAATCTGGGCATCTGGCACAATTCTCACTGCCACTTCTTTGAAGGGAAGCAAATCCAGCAGCAAGTCCCTGCCAATGTGAGCCTTTCTTGGCTGCAGCACGAGGGCAATGTATTTGACGGGGCTGTCCAAACCCTGATGATCCCGGAATACTGTCTCTGCCGTATCATTTGGTGTTAGATAACGGAAGTTTGCCACATCGGCTGCGTACTCATATTGGCCCAATAAATCGGCCAGAACGGCAGTTATAAGCTTGGGATCCTGCGTGGGTATGACAGAGCCAAGGAATTTCTGCCTCTTCTCCGTGTCGGGATCAAAGAAGCGCAGCGAGGGCGTCTGGCGCACACTGAACACCCGGCAGAGTTCGGCATTCCGCTCCTGGGCGCAATCCACGGCATAGAATCGGAGCAGTCTGCGCCACTTGTACAGGTCACGGGCTAGCCCCTTGTAGACCGGTGCAAAGCGCTGACAGTCGCCGCAGAAGGTGTTCAAGAACTGGACCAGCTTGTTGGTTTTCAGGTTCAGGACTGGCCTCAGTGAGCCAATGTCCAGCATAATCACATTGTCCGCATCGCTATAGAGACTGGCCTCGTTGGCCGTCCTTCTGGCATTTGTGCGGCCAAACACTTCGGGGGCGAAGAGCAACAGCAGGCAGCACAGAAGCGTCTGGAATCCAAGCCGAATCCAAGTCATTTCCACACGACGGTGCTCACCACTCAAATGGGCCACTTAAACTGATCCAATCGCAAGGGCTCTTTGGTAATTATAGCCGCATTTGGATTCGCCCTGCCTCGCTTGTTAAATCACCCATCCCAAATCTCTCTTTCTCTCAAAACTGGTTTTCATAATTTCGTGGCTCGGTATTCTATCCAGGTACACCCAAATGAATTCCAAAAAATTGTATGTTTATTTTTTTGTATTATGCACAAAAGATAGAAACCAAAAAGTCGTATAAATATAGGTAGCAGGAGCAGTATAACATACAACAACAACTTGGTTGGCATTTATTTTGACTGCGTTTATTGCCTGCTTATAGACACTTGAGGTATGTTGTAGGTTTCTAAGTTCTTCTCAAGGTGGGCAATCCGTAAAAGCTCACGTGCTTTATATCGTAGATGCGCTTCAGGTACTTCAACACCTCGGCCAAGTTCCATCCTTTTGGCTTCTTGTGGCAGGCCGGGCAGTGTTTCCGCAGCGGAAATTGCACTTTGGGGAACATGGGATCCTCAGTGGCGTCGCCGGCCAACCTATTGTTGACCTCGTTATGGGCTGCCCAAAGCCAAAGTATCTCCTCGTCGTGGGACCTCACGGATTCAATATTTCGCCGCTTGGCCATCTGCTGGAAGTGCTTGGAACACTCTGTGCAGCCGAAAAAGTACTTGGCGAATCCAAAGAGAGCAAGTATCACAAAGCCGGGCTTAAATACCTTTGGATTTTGGGCCGACATCACAGTCAAATGGTGGAAAAGTGTCCAAAATGAGCAGGTGATGCCGCGCATTAGAGGCTTAGAGCCAATGCAGCCAACGTAGCGAAATATTTTGAAGACTGTTCCCAGCCCTTTTTCGATTTCCGCAACTTTATTCGCCAACTCGGCTCCTTTAATTTTCTTAATAGTCTTTAGGTGACTTTTAAGCCTGTGAAGTAGTTTTCTGCCGTCTTGGTTCAAAGGATTAAAGCGGTTAAACAGTTCAATAAGACGGTACAAGGCCAAAAACTTTTCGCCCTGAATGAGTGGCGCCTTGGGAATCTCGATGTGCAGAAGTTGGTGCAGAGCCTGCTCCAAGTCGGCTTGATAGACAACCGGTGGTGAAGCCAGCACCTTCTCCAGAATAACTGCGTCCATCCCCTGCAGTAATACCTCTTGCGGAGCTATAGTTGTTGGCAATTTGGGAATCCTCGTGTGCTTATTTTGTTCTAGAAAGTTAGCAACGCTTTCCACGTATGCAGAGCTACTTTCTTCGGTTGGTGTTAATGGATGCTGTTTGCCAGTTCTATCTAGAAGGGCGATATTTTGGGCGGAAGGCATCAGGCCGAATTGGGTGAAGAGCTGAGCATCATTAAGGATCCGCACAGCCACATCGGGATAGGGAAGGAGGTCCAGAAGCGTTAAAATTCCGATCTGGGAATTCTGCGGCTGATATACCAGCAAAATATAAAACAGCTTACGGTTAAATCGACCGAAGATACTCTTTGCAGTCTCATTTTTCTGAACAGGAGCAAAGATCGGCTTTAGTTTCTTGGTTCCAGTGTAGTCATTTTGGGCCAGATGCTTAACAAGCAGGTTCACGAGTTTCTTGGAATCTTTACTGGGTAAATTTGTTCCGAGTCCATGACGTGCTTTCACGAAATTTGAATGATAGTAGCGCAGTGTGGGCGTCGACTTGATGTTAAAATCCCGGCATACACTCACGTTGTCCTCCTGGGCACAGTCTACGGCATAGATTCGCAGAATACGGTTCCACTTTTGCAGATCGACAGCCAGTTTCTTGTAGATGGGCGCGTACCTTCGACAGTGTCCACAGAAAATGTTCAGGTATTGCACCAACTTTCCAAGAGCTGGAGCTTTTAGAGCTTTTTCAAAATCCAAGCCTTCGACCACATGCACATTATCCAAACGTGAGTATAGTGATATTTTCCCAGCACTCCTTAATCTAACCGAAAATCCTCCCGGTAAAATCGCGATAAGGAGGAGGCTCTTGAAAAACGAGAGCCCGAAGAGTCGAAACATTTTAATTTGTCAACTTATTCCAATGTACAGTATTGCCAAGACCCGATTAGTATAGCCGTGGTAATTTATATGTAATTAGCTTCGCTCCTAACTCTAATTGTAAAGTCGAACGTTTCGACTATAGCTGATTTAAATAATTAATTTTAGTATATTATGGTGTAGGACATTCCATAGAAACTAAGGTTTGTAATGTTATAGAGACTTCTTAAGTATTTTAAAACATTTGGTCGCATCCAATCATTTTTATCTTTGCAATCATGGCAGCTGGCCTTGTTGGGAAACTGAATTTTGGGAAACCTTGGGTCTAGAGTGCCGTCATCTTCCAGACGTTTATTGAACTCATTATGCGTTTCCCAAAGCCAGAGTATCTCTTCATCGTGTGATTTCGCATCCAAAGGCTTTGCTATTCTTATAAACTCTTCGGCGCAGGAAGGACACTCAAAGAAAAAATGCTGGATAAAGCCTCTGATAGCTTTTGCCACAAATCCCGGCTGGAATGGCTCGCTTAGATTGGCTGCCTCCACAGTTAGGTAATGGAATAGGATCCACAGGGAGCAGGGGTACTCCCGCAGGAAGGGTTTTGAGGGAACACAGCCCACGTAGTGCCTTCCGCCGAAGACCAAGCTTGGAGCCAGTTCCAAGGTATACAAGCGCAGCAGAAACTCCTCTCCTGTTAGGTGATCCTTATGCTCCAGCCACGTGTGCATCCCCTTAAGCATCATTGCACCCTTCCGATTTAGTGGATTGACTTTGGCCATAACCATCATGAAGTTCTTCAGAGCAACAAGGCTGTCGCCTTCTAGGTTTCGCTTCTTGGGGATCTCAATGTGCAGCAGTTTGTACAAAGCCCGCTCCAAGTCAGCACGGTATATTCTCAATGGTGCTCTCAACACATACTGTTCAATCTCTTTCTGCTCCAGTTGATAGGAATCCGCACCTTCCGCCCACACTATGGGGTGATGCGATGGGGGACTTGGATAACCTTTATCTTTGAGGAACTTTTGCAGGAGATGAACATAAACTTTAACCGAATGCCTTTCAATTTCCCAGGAATACTGTTTCCCATTCCGATCGAAAATGCTCAGCTTTTTGCCAGCAGTCAAGTCCATGAGAGTATGATCATCTTCAACAATTCGTACGCTCACTTCCTTGTAGGGCAGCATATCGAGAGCAGTCTCCATTCCGAGAAATGAACGACTTGGCTGGTAGACGAGCACAATGTATTGAATCTTCACATCGTCTGCCCAGAGGTTACTCAAAGTTTCGTTGTGCAGAACACCATCGAAGTTAAGATAAGGAAGCTCGGGATAACTGAGAAGTCCAACAAGATCCTCCACAATTGAAGCTAATTCCAGGTTGGTTATTTCGAATCCGTGGCGATAACCTATCTCAACCAGATCTGAATGAAAGAACCTTAGAGTGGGCATTTGTCGCACTCTGTAAGCGCTACAGACTCTTATGTTGTGCCCTTTGGTGCAGTCCAAAAAGTAAACAGCCAGCACTTTCCGCCATTTACTTACTTTGGAAATTAGTTTTTCCACCGTGTCCTCGAACAACACGCACTGTTGGCAGAAATTGTTGGAGAAAATCACTAGCTTTCCAAGTGTCGGCTTACTCAAGATTTTCTCCAGACTTTTTGAGTTCAAAATTTCGGGCACATTCGTTCCGTAGATGAAGTGAGGTTTTGTCTTTCCCGTGGAAAAGGGTAAAAATATGAAAATCAGCGATGCCCACAGCACCAAAGTGGTGGAATGAACTGGAAACATCGTTTCCAAAAGCGTTTTGCGGCGCTACTGGAAATATTATAATAAATCTGTTTCTGGATTGACGGAAATAATTGCTTCAATTGGATCTGCTTCACTTATTCATTTGATTTCATTCATTCTCTTTCTCAATGTAAGCAAAACAAGAACACTTTGTTATATAGTTAGTACTCAGAGGCTGGCATGTAGTACCTTCTGTATTTATTTTGTTAATTAACGAAGTTTTCCTCAATTCAGCAATTTTTTTCTAGTCTCAGCTAGTTGTCAATAAGAAAGGAGAATTTACCTATTAACTGATTTCATTATTTTATTGAAAAATAAAATATGTACGTACAGTATCATTCTGTTTTATTTTATCAAAGAAAGGTATAACAACAGCTTTTATTTTGAGAATAAAATTTAAGCACCACAAAATGTGCGGAATAATGTCAGAACTCATTAACTTTCACTGATTTTTGATGTTCTTTCGTAAAATTTAATTTTCCTTGGATCCTTTCCATGCAGTAGAAAGACACAGTAGTGGCAACTTTTTCGCAATTTGCCTGCAATGCAACGAGTTTTCGTGTCAAGGGTTCTCGCAGACTTGTGAACAGAGTTCATTGACTCATTCAGGCCAAGAAAACTCAGTTTCGGCTTTGAATATATATCTCTTAGATAATTGAGTACAGCATTTTTGTCCCAAACATTGCCATTTTTTCTGCATTGCGGGCAATTATTTGAGCCGGGAAACTGTATCTTTGGAAATCTGGGATCCTCAATTCTTTTGTAGGCAAGATATTTGTTGATTTCGTTGTGAGTCCGCCACATCCACAAGACTTCCTCGTCATAATTGTTTATCTTAGAGATACTGTGAAGCTTGAAAATTTGTTCAAAATATTTCGAGCACGACACACAGGTAGGAAAGAAATATCTAAAAAAATCATGAATTGCCTTGACAACCTGACTGACTATAAGCCTAACTCCACTATTGGCAGTCACTTCGGCGGTTAGGAAATGAAATAGATGCCACAGGGAGCAAGAAAAACCCCTCATTAATGGCTCGGTTGATCGGCAGCCCACAAAGTCTGCGGCAGTGAAGGCCATTCCATATTCCATTTCATAGCAATTGACCAGGTCAGTGAACTTAATTCCCGTCAACACATCGTACTTGTTTAGCCAGGTTAGCAGATCCCGAAGCAGCTGTCTTTTCTTCTCGCTTACAGGACTTAAACGGATCAGCACCTTAAAGA